AGGTTTTATGAAGAAGCACGAAGTCAGATGGGAGTTTGGATGGTAAGGAGGTCATTAAAGGCAGAGGAGAATGGTATGAAGCAAATGCCAGGGGCTGCTTTTGTGCACGTGTACAATAAGACCTCCTTCTGGGCCGACCAGTCACAGAAGAGCACCCCTTCCTCCCAGCCCAACCCATGATGCACTTCAATGCGGGCTTGTTTAGCAGAACTTGGCCTAGATTTGATCCTCTCTTGCCCCTCCCCTCCACAGCTGCCTTAGACCTACACATAGAAAGCACAGCCATCTGTGGTGGCTAGAGGGTCCAAGTGTGACCCTGGGTAAGGTGTTTTGGGTGTGGTTAGCCCAGGTTGGCTAGAGCCAAGGGCTAACAAGACGGAGATAAAATGGGGAAGATATGTTGGGGCCAGAGTGTGGAGAAGCAGTAGTATAGCACTAAGGAACCAAGGCTTCCTTTTAAGGCTAATGGGGATTCAGTGAATGTTTGTAGGCAGGGAAGGGCTCAGATGGGATTTTTAAATGCTCACTGGAGCATAGCCACTTTTCAGTTCTGTGGAGCAATTTTTACTGCTGAGGCACTGAGCTGGGCCTCTTCCTTGTCCCTGTCCTTGTACGACTGGTATTTACACTGGTATTTACAGTCCTTATAGGACTGCTAATTTCCCCACTCAGCTTCTGGGCCATCTCATTATCCCATCTTTTTCTTGACTATTAGAAAAAAGTATTTTTTAATTAAAAAATCTCTTCGAATATATTTGTATGTCATATATACATATATGTTCACATATATATGAGTGTATATATACCTTAAAGTTTTCTTCTGTTATTAACCCCTCTCCAGTTCCTAGTCTCCCCCTCTACATACACATAGGTAAGTACTGTTAGGAGCTTTTTGTGGCAAATGCAAAGGTGAATATAGCAAATCTTTATCCTCATTTGCTCTTTTTTTAAAATATATATTTTGAGATTTTATTTATTTGAGAGAGAAAGCATGAGCAGGGGGGAGGGGCAGAGGGAGAAGCTGACTCCCCCAACCGAGTAGTGAGCCCAACTTGGGGCTCCATCCTAGGACCCTGGGATCATGACCTGAGCCAAAGGCAGACATTTAACTGACTGAGCCACCCAGGTGCCCCTTTGTTTACTCTTTTTTTTTTTTTAACACAAATGATAGCATGCTATACACAGGTATGTTGCTTCCTTTCCTTAATCGTAAATTCTAGTGATCCTTTCTAGTATCCTTTTGAAGAGACAGAGAGCCATACTGTTAATAGAATAATAATGAAGCAGCTGGTAGGTCTTGAGCTCTTAGAGTATTACCACCATGTTGAGGGCCTGATATCCAACTTTATAACAGTCTGTGAGTTGGGGTTGACTATTTTTTCTTTTCTTTCTTTTTTTTTTCAGAGAGAGAGGCAGGGGAGGGGCAGAGGGAGAGGGAGAGAGAGAATCTTGAGCAGGCTCCATGCCCAGCGCAGAACCCGACTCAACTTGGGACTTAGTCTCACAGAGTCTTGGACCCCAAGACACCAGGTGCCCAGCTGGGCATCATTTAAATATTTGTATATTAAGTACTTAAATATTTGCTCTGTGTATAGAATGAGCTATTGACTTGGTGTCATAGTTTATAAAAAGAAAATAGGGCGCCTGGATGGCTCAGTCAGTTAAGCATCCAACTCTTGATTTTGGCTTAGATCATGATCCCAGGGTCCTGGGATCTCAAGGTCCCATGTGGGCCTCCCCGCTCAGCAGGGAGTCTGTTTGAGGATTCTCTCTTCCTCTTCCTCTGCCCTTCCCCACCTAAAATAAATAAATAAATCTTTTTTTTTTAAATGATGCCCAGGGATGCCAGTGGTCCAGTCTGTCCCTTCTGAGGCCCCAGACTGTTGCTTAAACATGGATCCTATGAGTAGGTGGTAAGAGAAAAGGCTGAACTGAGGCCCAGCACAGTCACAGTGAGTGATAATTATTTACTTGGCTGTTTATCCCACAAGACTGTGAGTCTCTGGAGGACAGGAATATGTGTTATGCGTATGTCAGCAATACTGCCTAGCACTATGCCTGGCACATAACAATTTTGGAAAGCTATTTTTGGAAAGCTTTGAAACCTGAGTCACAGTGGATGTCACTGCAGAAAACAATTTTATTATTTCTGTCCTTCATAAAATACTTGATTATCTTGAATATTTATGACTTTGTTTTGGCTTTCCAGAATGAATATGATTACCAGTTTTTGAACACTAACTATGCATCAGTCATAATTGCCAAATACTTAGATCTATTTTAACCCACAACAACTCAAATCATTTGGCAATAGATAATGAAATAAGTTCAAAGAGGTTAAGTAAGTCACCCAAGTTTGCACAGCTAGTAGCATCGAAGCCAGAATTCAAAGCCAGGTGAGTCTGATCCCAAACCCTGTGGTCTTAACCACTCAAACATGTCTACATGTCTACATGTCACCTGCTTCTGGAAAACCACAAGGAAAGCTCAGCCTCTGGTCATACCACATGACTCAATTCAGAGTGAGATGGCTGAAGGCAGACTGTAATCAGTATTATCAATATTTAGCATTTTAAATGCCCACTGTTTTGATGACCCTGGTTATTTGAGAAGGAAACAACACTAACAACAAAACGTATTTCTCATTTACAGGAGTAGCTTTCTAGGCTGTGACTAATCCTAAAGTCTACCTATAATTTGTACTGTGTTGTTCTAAATTCCAAAAACTTCTACAAGGTATGGGGAAGGCTGATGTGCTGACACTGACTTTGATGCAATTAATTGAGACAGATGTAATGTCAGTGTTTGCTGGTCACTTCCTGACAGGATGGATTTCAGTGGATCTCTATTGGGAGCCCTTAAAATAGAACAGCGTATTTTGTTCAAAAGCAAAAGTTAGGGACTTAATATTAAGGGAGCAAGAAAGTGAGTGAGCAGTGTTAGGTGTCTCATATCCCTTCTTTATCCATCCATTCAATAAATATTAGAGTTTCTACTATCTGCCTGGCATTGTCTGAAGCACTGTGGATATAGCAGTAAACAAAAACAGACAAAAATTCCTATTCTAGTGGGAAGAGAAACAAAAAGATTATGTTTTACTTAAAACGTAAGTCAGGGGCGCCTGGGTGGCTCAGTCAGTTAAGAGTCTGCCTTCGGCTGAGGTCATGATCCCAGGGTCGTGAGATCAAGCCCAGCGTCTGGCTCCCTGCTCAGCGGGGAGTCTGCTTCTCCCTCTGCCCCTCACCCCACTCGTGCTCTCTCTCTCTCTCTCTCTCAAATAAATAAATAAAAATAAAACATAAGTCAGATGGTAAGAAGTCTAATGAAGTTGGACGGGGAAGGGGACTAGAGAATTCTGGGATGTGTGTGCAATTTTAAAATTCTTACACTGTGTGTTGCAATTGTGTCAAGTCATTGGCCTTTGGCCCCTGTCTCTCTCTGAGCATGCCACATAATGGCCTGGACTTGTGTCACATCCTGTAGGTCTTGCCTTCTGCACACCTAGTGTGAAACTCCAATAACCACTTGCCCTGATGTTCATGGCTGGTTTCTTGCTGGCCTGAGTGGACTAGATCTAATCTATAGACTCTTAAATCTAAAGCCTAGAGGAGGGTATTCAAGTAATCTTGAGAGTTTGGGGAGAAAAAGAAGGCAGAGGTAAAGAAATCAAAACAGGATTTCTTTAGATAAGATTAGGCAAAATTATCTCTCTCTTCACCTCTGTCCTAATCACTCAGGAAGTAAGAAAAAAACAAAACAGCTCAAAGGCTTGGCAGGGCCTGGAGGTGGCTGGAAGGAGGTTCTGGGTAGATTATAATAGTTAAGGCAGAGGCAGAAGTGGGGTGCCTTGCTCGCTCAGTCAGAAAAAGTTAGAGGTAGAAGAAAGTATAATAATTTGTCTAATGAATGAGGGAATGATGATGCCAAGACGTGGTGGTGATGGGATGGATGGATGCTTTAGCCTCCCATAAGCTCCACCAGCTACTTATCTCCAATAACCGCCCTTACCCCCAACAAATCCAAACTAACAAGGTTCTTCACAACTGACATTTTCTTAATCACACGTGAAGTGTGAATAAAAGCATTTTCGGAGAACCTTATTTTGTATTGACCTAATACACAGTTTAAGTAGGGTGTGCTTGCAAAAGTAGCTTCAAAGCAAGCCCTATAAACCCGACATTTACAAAACATGGCCATGGCTTAGGCTGGACAGAGCCTGTGGAAGGAGTTTCCCTGGAAGTTCTTAGCTGGTAAGAGTGGTGGTGATGGGGGTGCCTGGGTGGCTCAAGTAGGTTGAGCGACTGCCTTCGGCTCGGGTCATGATCCCGGAGTCCCGGGATCGAGTCCCGCATCGGGCTCCCTGCTCGGCGGGGAGCCTGCTTCTCCCTCTGACCCTCCTCTCCTCTCATGTGCTCTCTCTCTCTCATTCTCGCTCTCTCAAATAAATAAATAAATCTTTGAAAAAAAAAAAAAAAGAGTGGTGGTGATGGTCCACCACCAGGCTTGGCCAGGCATGCGATTATGGGGTGAAACTGATGATGGTGGTGATGAAGTTACGTCCTCATCTCCTTGTGAAGTCAAAATCGTTAAAAATCCAGTCACGCTCACGTCATCCAGGTTTGAGGCCTCCCTTTGGTCCTTTGGTCCTTAAGCCTGAAACTGCCAAACGCGGCAGACAGGGGCTAGAGGCGGGTTATCCCAAGTCCTCCGCCCCGGGGCGGGTCTCAAGACTAGGATCTCGGCGGGGCCGGCTGGCTGGCCCCGGCCTGAGCCGGCCCGCCCCTCCCTTCCCCGCATGGCCTGCTGGGAGTTGTAGTTCAGTCGTCGAAGAGACGCGCCAAGCCCCTTCCCTCTCTTCCGTTTCCTCTCCGCCCCGGATGAGCGCGCAGAATAGGGACCGCAGGCCGGGGGCACCCAGAGAGTTTGGGACTACAATTCCCAGCGGACCGCCTTCCCTAGCGCGCAGTCCCAGGTAGCCGGCGGCTCGCTTGCGCGCAGGAGCACACGCGTTGGGCGGTGGCGGGATTTGGCCGCGTGCACCTTCCCGCCCCTGCCCGCCCAGCGCCCGCCGCGAGTAGCGCCGTCCGTCCGGCCTCGCAGACCCGCCCTGTGTTGGTTCCCCCGAAGCTCTGCGAGCCCCTCCTCCTACCCAGTTTCTTCTAGGGCCCAGGCCCCGCCCGTTTCCCACATCCTGGGCCCGGTTCGTTCCCGACTCAGCCCGTCCCTCTCTGCGCCCCTGCTGCTTCTGCTGAAGGCGGAGGCTCCATGTTGTCCCCTCCTCGAGCGGTAGCGGCTGCCTCGGGAGGAGCAGGTGAGGCGCCCTATTTTCCCCGGGCCCGCTCCGTGGCCCCTCCGCCGCCCTCCCGACTATAGCCCCGAGGAGAACGCCCGCACCGCCGCCCGTTCCTCGTCCCAGGGCTGGGACCCTGCGCCCCTCGCCGGGGTACCCTCGGCCCGCGAATTCGGGGCCGGGGGCTCTTAGTGAGGCCTGGCCGGTCGGGCGCGGGCGGCGCTTCCCTCGGCTCCCGGTGGGAGCGGCAGCCGTCGGCGGTCGGGCCCTGCGCCCGCGGGAGGCCGGCAGCGTTTTAGGCCGGGGGACGGGCGGCGTGCCGGCCCCGCCCTGACCGAGCTGCGCGCTCCGGGGCTGCGGCTCCCTCCTTGCCTGGCGCTTCGCAGGGTCGCGGGCCGGAAACCGGGAACGTAGATGCTTTACTTTCAGTCTTTGACAAAGCGCTGGACGGCTGCGAAGTGTTTCGGAGTTGGAAGCTTAATTTTTATCCTAACGACCTCGAGGCGCTGACAAGCATTAGGAAAGTTGGTTTTAAGCCCACACTTCTTTCCATAAACGAGATAAAAGAATGTGGCCCAAATTGCTTTTTTAGGAAGTTCTTTTAGTACGTTTGGTATCGTACGTTGTTCTCTTGCTTCCTTGAAGACATAAAAAATGGTAAAAGAATTAACTAAGTAGAGTCATCAAAAATTGAAGGATACTTCATCTGTCATTTTACCTGGCTTTATTCTTGCTTAATGTGTGTGCTCTTGAAATCGCCAAAAGTTTCACTTGCGAGATTTAAAGGCAAAAAAAGAAAACATTGAAGAATCTTAAGAGATAAATCCCAGCCCTCAGATTTGAATACGAAGTTGGGTGGAGTGTTTTGTGAAAGGGAGAAAACTAACGGACGAAAAACGCAGTTTTCACATTTTGGCTTGCCTTTGGAGAAGCAAAACCTACGTGGTTTTAATCCATGTCAAGTGTTCAGTATTGCAGTGAACTGAAATTCAAATTAGTGTTTTTTTTTTTTCCACTTTCCACAGAAACTAGCTAGTCTAGAAATCCCTGTTTCTTCTTTACCACCTGTAAAGGAAAGGCTTGGATGAAAAGAATCTATATAATGAAGAATTAACATTAGTACAGCACGTTGTTTTATTAGCTACCATTTACTATCTCATTGGAGTAATCATGAAATTAGGAAAAATGACAACAAAGGATAAATATGTGTACTAGCATACTTTTTGTAGTTTTCACTCAATAGTTTAGAATAGGCTTTTTGAAATTGGGGTTCTATGGTGGAGCAGGTGTGTTTCATTTTTATGATTTCTAAATCTTAGAATAAAGGATAGATGCACACTAATTTAAAATGAGATATGTAAGAAGCAAGAAATTAATATAAAGTTCTCTCTACCTCCCCCAACCCCCGGTGCTAGGTCACTTAACAGTTTGGCTACATATTAAGATTCCAATGAAATAGGGAACCCCAGGTTGTGTGAACTTGTTGAGAACTAGAATTTGCCTATAATGACTAGGCATGCCTGTTAGAGTGTCTATGGCCTTGTGAACTGAGAAATTGTTCAAATAACACAGCTGCATTTTAAAGTTAATAAGAATTTTAAAACATTTTCCCAAGTTATCTTGAGGTTTTGGGAGAATATTCTTTAAAGAAGCATCAAGGGGAAAAAGTGAGGGGAAAGCTTTTATTTAAAGGAAAAAAACCCTCTAGTTGGGCTGTGGATCTCCATTCTGCTGCATGATTAGAACAACCTGCGGTATTTTAAACCTGACAATGCATGGGACCCACAGATCCTGATTTAATTCGTTGAGGGGCCAGGCAACAGTTAAAAAAGAACATTGAATAATTCTGATTTGCATACTAATATAAAATTTCCCTATAGGTGGTTGCTTACATTTGAATTGATTTGCTACTTAATAGGAAGTATAATTTATAATATCAATGTATTGAGAAGTTGATGCTCTTTGCAAATTTGTAAAGAATGCTTTTTATTAGCATGTATTTTGATAGAACTTGTTGATATATTTCACAGCTAAAGTATATTACAAGTTAGGAAATAGACTTTACTGGTATAGTCGGTGAAAAAACAAAGTAGATGAGCTGTATTTATGTCTTGAAATCATAAGGAATCCAAGTCAAATATTGCCAATTAACTGCGTTCGCGCTTTCCCCTGGTTTTTTTTAAAAAAAAAAAGAAGAAGAAAGCCTGTTCATCTGGAACACAAAACCTTCAGGTAACCAAATTGATTTTGGTGATTTTTTTTTTAAAGATTTTATTTATTTGACAGAGAGAGACACAGTGAGAGAAGGAACATAAGCAGGGGGAGTGGGAGAGGGAGAAGCACGCTTCCTGCTGAGCAGGGAGCCCGATGCGGGGCTGGATCCCAGGACTCTGGGATCAGGACCTGATCCGAAGGCAGCCGATTAACCGACTGAGCCACCCAGTCGCCCTGATTTTGGTGATTTTTTATTTTTAGGGCTGAGTCGAATAAGATGAATATTGAACTCATTCTATTAAAAATAATTTTTTTTCTATAGCGTAGCCTGGCATCATTTTTAGATTCAACCTAGTCTCTGCATTTCTGAATCTTAAGTACTGTTTAGTTATAATTGGTCTTTATAAAACTATAAAGCACTACAAAATTGACAAAATATGGTTTTGTTCAGCATTCTGTGCTAAAGTATGAAGATTTCTTATGACAGATGAATTGAGAAAAAGTTTCCTCTTAAACGCTTTAATTGATTCTAATGTAAATTTCCCCCAATAGTCTCTTCTCTTGGGCATAAGTAGTATTTTTATTGAAACAACTTTAAAAATGTCTGTGTATCTACCAGTATATTTACTGCCTTAAGACAATAATGGACTATATAAAAGCACTCCCCCCCACCATCAGTGGCATGGAACCACACCCAGCCGTTTGAGTTGGCTGAGGGCTTACCATCATATATGATGATGTGTTTTCTCTGACCTTGCCTGAATTAGGAACTTTGAAGACTGCCAGCGAGAACAAGGCATGAAATGGTATGCTTCTGTTTTTGGGTGTGTTGTTCTTGCCCTTTAGTGAATGTGTTTCAAAAGGAAAGTGGAAAACTCAGGTCATAACTTTATCCTGAGTCATTCACTGTACTTAGTGAAATGTTTCTGAAACTGTAGTTAATTTGCTTTTTGGAACTCTGAATAGTAAAGATGAGCACTGGGGCTGGCTCTGCCTTAGTAGTTCTTAACCCAGGGTGATTTTGCTGTGGAGGGACATTTAGCAATATCTGCAGACATTTTTGGGTCTTACAACCAGGGGGTAGCACTACTGGTATCTAGTGGGTAGAGGCCAGAGTTGCTGCTAAATATCCTACAATGAATAGGCTAGCTCCCCACAACAAAGAGTTATCCAGCCCAAAATACCAGTAGTGCCGAGGTTGAGAAACCCTGGTCTGCACTGTTGAATTGATCAATTAAATTCTGTATGAATTTTCTGAAATAGCATTTGTAACTGCTTCCAGTTAACTAGTTTCATTGAATTTATCACTGTTCAGATGGTCTTTTCAAATATTTGAGGGGAATTTAAGCTTTTTTTCCCCTATAATGTTTTTTGATAGAATTTATTTCTTAGAATGTATATTTTCCATAGGACTGAAAAGGCCAATTATGATTAAGTAGTCTCACGGACTTTTATTTAGCCTATGCAGCTACTTTTGAATTTTTAAAAGACTTTTTTTTTTTTTTAAGATTTTATTCATTTATTTGAGAGAGAGAGAGCATGAGTGGGGGGGCAGAGGGAGAGCGAATCTCAAGCAGACTCCACACCGAGTGCAGAGCCCAATGTGGGCCTCAATCCCAGCACCCTGAGATTGCAACCTGAGCCGAAACCAAGAGTTGGATGCTCAACCAACTGCACCACGCAGGTGCCCCTAAAAGACTTTTTTAAAAGTAGCTGCAGGGGCTCTTGGGAGGCGCAGTCAGTTGAGTGTCTGATTCTTGGTTTCAACTTAGGTTGTGATCTTGGGGTCATGAGGTGGAGCCCCGTTGGGCTCCTCACTCAGTTCAGGGTATGCTTGAGATTCTTTCTTCCTCTCCCTCTGCCCCTCCTGCTCGTGCGTTTTTTCTCTCTCTCTCTCAAATAAATAAATAAAAAATCTTTAAGACAAAAATTCAGAGTTAGGTCATTCTAAAAGAGTTAATGCTCTAATTTGCTCAGATCTCTACAGTTTTCCCTATGATAATTAGTTTCACCTGTTAGTCTTCACGTCTTTCTACTTGGGTTGTCTGTTTTTGTCGTTTTAGTGCAGAGCCAGTCTACTGAATGCAGTTATTACAGAGATTATTTGAGCAGGCATATTTAAACCTATTGGTTAGTCTGGGTTAAGGTGTATTGTGCCAAAAGTAAAGGCTAATCAGTACTTTAAAAGTAATTAGAGGGGCTCCTGGGTGGCTCAGTTGGTTGGGTGTTGGGATGAGTCCTGAGTCGGGCTCTCTGCTTGGTGGGGAGCCTGCTTCTCCCTTTCCCTCTGTCCCCCCACCCCACTCATGCTCTCTCTCAAATAAATAAAATCTTTAAAAAAATAAAAGTAATTAGAAAAAAGGTTGTAGCTTCCACATAAACTGTTGAAAGTCTTTTTAATTATCCAAATATTTTCAGCACTTCCTACATAACTGAAATGAAGGCTGATTCGGTATTACCATTTGCTATTTACACCAATAATCAGAATTGGCAGTATGATACAGTATTTGTTCTACTCATCTTTTTTTTTTTTTTAAAACAAAGGTTTTAAGTTCACTTATGTGGATATGGATGACAGATGTGACTATTGTCAGGCCATATCTTTGTGTACCAAAGTGTCTCATCTGTTATTCATATAAATGAACATAGTACAGCATTAACTCTTCATCTAAATAAGCATTAACTGTTCATATAAGTGAGCATTACTGTTGTCTCAGAGTGGATATCTAGATCTTGGGAAATAATTGCTTCACTAAAGGGAGAAGCATGTCAGGTTGTCACCTAAAGGTTTTTTTAATACCATTCCT